TTCTCTGGAATTCAGAGGTAACCCTTTTCCGACCCAAATCTCCAAAACAAAACCTAGCCCGTTCCCATCACTCAACCGTGAATGTAACTGTCTGGAGGAGAATCTGAATACTTTGAAATATTCATGTGTTCATTTGCTTATTCACTTTCTCATTCATGTGAGTGTCCAATAAACATCTGCAAGTGTTGAGTACGTGCTGGCTGCTGGTGGAAACACTGGTTGCTGGGAGAATTTTATGGAGAAAGGTGCATTTGGGGGAAAAAAACTGAAAAGGCAAACAAGATACCACCTCCTTTATTTTAGTCAGTTGCATCTGTTGTCAGAAAGAAACTAAAATGAATCTACTTAGGTCGGGCTCTTAGATGGATGTGAGGGAACACAGAGGTGAAGTAGGACTTTCTTTACTTCATAAGCCAGGAAAAGGGAGAGAAGCAGCACCAAATCCTCTGTACCCCATGACTCTCCCCTTCCTCTCCTTCACCTAGTGAGTGTTAGAGGTTGGTAAACACCCCCACCACCGTGTTAAGGGCAAAACTGTGTGCTTCTTGGGCTTCATAACTGACAGAATTTCAAGTTGGCCACCCCACTTAGGGAGATGGTGACCTGTTGTAACTGGGAGATGGATGACTTCTCTAACAAAATAAAAAGTATGTGTGTGGTGTGCATTCGCGTGTGTGTGTGTGTGTGTGTGTGTGTGTGTGTGTGTTTGTGCATGTATGGATTTCAGTTAGGGTTTTTTATGGTTGTGAAGAGACACCATGAGCATAGCAACTCTTATAAAGTAAACATTTAATTGGGGTGGCTTGCTTACAGTTTCAGCGGTTTAGCCCATTATCATTATGGCGGCATGCAGGCAGACATGGTACTGGATAAGTAGCTGAGAGTCTTACATCTTGCAGGCAACGGGAAGTTGACTGAGTATCAAATTGAGCGGTATCCTGAGCATAGGAAACCTCAAAGCCCATGCCCAACACTTCCTCCAACAAGGCTGTGTGTGTGTGTGTGTGTGTGTGTGTGTGAATATGTGTGCCTGCGTGCCATGGCACTGTGTGAAGGTCAGAAGACAACTCTTGGGTCAGGGTCTCTTTTTCCACTGTAGATTTTGGGGATTGAACTCAAATCATCAGGATGTGCAGTTAGTTGAATTTACACTCTGGGCCATCTCACTGGCCTGCAAACCTCTCAGTTTGAAGGACAGAGGCTCCCTTTTGACCAGTTTGATTTTTCATGTTTTTTAGGTGTCTGTGGCTCGCTTACCCACAGTCAACCTCAGTCTGTTCAGCACAAGAAGATATTTTGAGACTGCATCTGTATAACTTTTATTACAGTATATTACCATAATTACTTATTTTTCTTATTTTCTTGCTATGCCTCATTATGAGTTAGAAGCTTTTATGAATAGGAAAGAACAATAAATAAAGGGCTTGGTTTTATCTGCAGTTCTGGATGCCCTCAGGGCTCTTGTATTCTCCCCTGGTAAAAGGGCCTGTGTGACCACTGAGGGACCCACCACCCACAGAATGACTTGGAACCCCGTTCTGCGAATCCTGTGAAGGTTTGGGGTTATGAACTAATGTACTAATTAGTTATTAACAATGAATATTAATCAAGTGTCTGCCTTTGTGATAAATGGCATAGAGTACTAATGCTGACCAATAGCATTAGAAATGGCTAATTATATGAATGATTAGTGATGAAAAAAACCTTTAAAATACCTTTCAGTATGCTTAGATATTAAGGATAATTAAAAATCTGACAAACAGCACGAACATATAGGAAGCAGCGAGTAATGGCTGCTTGGTCAGCAGCTTCCCCTGGTATAGACAGTGTAGGCTGCAGGTACCTTCCTCCCTATGTATACCCAGGTTTGGTTCAAGAGGTCAAATCCTGATTGTACAAATAAGGGAGCTCACTGCGCTGCTTTCCTGCACCTCTAGGTGAGGCCCAGCATTCAGACCTGAGCAAACCTGTTTGTTTCTGAACTTGGACCCAGAGACAGGAATTCAGCTGCTTGTAGTGGCCCTGTTGCCCCAGGCTGGGCTGAGGTCTACGTCTTGTGTACTTGCTCTGTCTTCACTTGAATGGCAGCTGAGGACCATCTGAAGATACCTGATGAGATGCGGTGCTTGGAGGCTGTTATGTTCAGTTACTTGAGTCTGATGCACGGTACCCTGGCCACTGTGGTCACTGCCCCGTTCTTGTTTCATTCGACACAAGCAGAAACACAACAAATGAAGCCAGTTGGTGTAAGGTCACAGGTCTAGCCCGTGAGTGACCCGACAAGATTGGAAAGAAATTAGACATTGTCCCAATGTAATTAAAAATGGCTTTGTTAGAAATTGACCATAGTAACCCGATGTGATGGTTCTTAGAATGGCACCTGGTACATCACAGAGATCACAAGGTTTCAAAGCAAAGCAGCAAATGCCTTTTAGGTGATGGCTTTCCCATAGATTTTTTTGAATTTTCTTTTTCTTACATGTGTCTAGTACAGTGTGCGTAATCTGAGACCAAAAGAAATGGAGGCACGGAACCAGCCTGTCAGTGGGGGCTCAGTTGAGTCCTTCTGGGGATTGGAAAGGGAAGGTGGGGAGTGAGAGGGACATTGACACTGAGTCTCCACACCTGTGGGCTGTGGCATGTGCCTGGCTCCTCTTGCCTACTCCCCCATCTCATTATCTCATCACTCAAGAATCCATGGTGAACCCAGGAGTCAAAATTCTTTGTGTGTGTATATTTTTTAAAATTTAAATTAGAAACAAGCTTCTTTTACATGTCAATCTCAGTTCCCTCCCTCCTCCTCCTCTGCCCCCCACTGACCCTGTGTCCCAACTCCCTTTTGCTCCCTAGGGAGGGGGAGGCCTTCCATGGGGGATCTTAAGAGTCTGTCATATCATTTGGAGCAGGGCCTAGACCCTCTCCTGTGTGTCTATGCTGAGAGAGTACCCCTCTATGTGGAGGGGCACCCAAAGTTCATTTGTGTACTATGGGTAAATACTGATCCACTATCAGTGGCCCTATGGATTGTCCAGACAGTCAAACTGACCTCAGGGGGGTCTGGAACAGTCCTGTGCTGGTTTTCCCGCTATCAATCTGGGGTCCATGAGCAACCCCTTGTTCAGGTCAGCTGTTTCTGTGGGTTTCTCCAGCCTGGTCTTGACCCCTTTGCTTATTACTCCTCCCTCTTTGCAACTGGATTCCAGGAGTTCAGCTCAGTGTTTAGCTGTGGATGTCTGCTTCTGCTTCCATCAGCTACTGGATGAAGGCGCTAGGATGGCATATTAGATAGTCATCAATCTCATTCGAGAAGGGCATTTAAGGTAGCCTCTTGACTATTGCTTAGATTGTTAGTTGGGGGTCAACATTGAAGATCTCTGGACCTTTCCCTAGTGCCAGAATTCTCTTTAAACCTCCTTCTATTATGGTATCTCTTATCTTGCTCTCCTCTATTCTTCCCCTGACTAAATCTTCCTGCTCTCTCATAACTTCCTCTTCCCCCCTTTTCTCTCCTTGTCTTTCTTCTAACTCCCTCTCCCCTCCTCCCATGCTCCCAATTAGCTTAGGAGATCTTGTCGCTTTCCCCTTCTTTGGGGGACCATGTATGTCTCTCTTAGGGTCTTTCTGGTTTCCTAGCTTCTCTGACGTTGTGGATTGTAGGCTGCAACATGAGTGAGTACATACTATTTTTGTCTTTTTGTGATTGGGTTACCTCACTCCAAATTCTTTTTTTTTTTTTTTTAAATAATTTATTTAACTTTATTTCATGTGCATTGGTGTAAAGGTGTCAGATCCCTTGGAACTGTGAGTTACAGACAGTTGTGAGCTGCCATGTGGGTGCTGGGAATTGAACCCTGGTTCTCTGGAAGAACAGCCAGTGCTCCTAACTGCTGAGCCATCTCTCCACTCCCCAAGTGTCAAAATTCCATGCTTTTCATCTAGATGGACAGGCCTCTGTCTTGTCAAGCCTGTATGTCTCTTTGTTCCAATTATTTTAATCATGAAAGGTCTTATTTTATGCAGACAACAGAAAATAAGGCAGGGTTAGAATATCCCTTATCAAAAATGCTAGGGACCAGGAGGGTTTTAGGCTTTTTTGGACTACGGAGTTTTGCACCTATATAACGAGGCATCTTGGGATGGCCCCATGTTTACAGACAGACTTCATTTGCAACTCAGATGCATCTTACTCTCGTAGCCTGAAGGTAATTTTATACACTCACTTCAGTGCTCTTGCATTTTGGATGCAGCCTGTCATGAGGTTAGGTGTGGAAGATTCCATTTGTGATGTCATTCGAGCATTCAGGAAGTTTCAGATCTTGGGGCATTTCTGAGTTCAGAACTTTGAGTCAGGCATGCTCAGCCTTTAGCTGCTTCAGCCCCAGCCATGCAGCTAAAGAAAGCGAAAGTGACAACTAAGGCTGAAGTACCTACCTCCTCTCTCTTCATAATTGGTGGAGAACGACTCTGGGCTAAAGGAATTAGGTCGAATGTTGAGGGCTTGCCTACCTACCATGTGCAAGGCCCTAAGTTTAACCCCTAGACCCCCAAACAAACAAACAAACAAACAACAACAACAACAAAATAAGAACAAATATGGGAGTAGCCATAGCATGGTTTATGGAAGCTTGTCTTGATCAAGGCCTTGGGAGCCTGGTAGAGCCACCTGGAACTGGCCTCACTGGAACTCTCAGAGCCCTGATTAGTGACATGACATGTACCTACATGTCTCCCATAATTGTGTGGATTCAGAGAAACATTGGTGCTGAGCACAGTGCTGGGTACCCAGCCAAGGAGCACCTAGCCAACGGTTGTCAAGGTTACTTCTGGCTGCTGTTAGCCTCTCATCATCTTGGATTTGGTACAGTTATAGTGACAGAGTCCAGGAGAACACTTTCCCCCCTCCTACACGTCCTCTAGGAGAGACCCAGGCGGTGGATAGCAAGTGTACCTTCCTTGGCTGCCGCCATGGGCTGACTGACAGGTTCCTTGGTGGATTTCAGGTGCTTGTCCTGGCTGTGAAGCAACTCTTCCCAGATTTTGAATTCATGTGGCTGGTGGATGAAGCCAAGAAGAATCTGCCTTTGGAGTTGGACTTCCTAAATGAAGGGAAGAACGCAGAGAAAGTGGCCCACATGCTTAAGCACTTTAGCTTCCTAAAGGTAGGATGGCAGAGCCGTAGGGAATGAGCGTAGGGCTGGGATTGAGTCTTACCCTGGATATCCCCACTTAGAAGGTGTGAGTTGGGACACCTCTTCGCCAAAGTTTCTTACTTAAGGTAAGCGATTGCTAATTGAAGAGCCATAGTAAAGCTCTTGAAGGTAATTTCCAAAAGAATGAACCCTGGTATGACTGTTGACCAGCCACTCGAGTAAACTGATGTGTTCATTGCATAATTGACACTGAGTATCCCTGTGGGACTGTGTGCTGTGGCCTCTGTCTCCATAGAGCCTGGAGTGATAATGGTGACGGTGACAGTGATAGCTAACACTATTGCATTTGGATCCTGTTCCAAAGATACTTATTGCATTTGCTCATGTGATGCACAGTTCTGTGACAAAAGTTCCTAGTCATCACCGCAATATGCAGAACTGTACCACAGAAAACCCAGAGCTTATGAGAGAAACAGGCCTGGGGTACAACACCCCAAAACCTCAATGACACAGAAAAAGATGCAGGGCCTCAAACGTGTGTCCACTTACACGCCATATTTCTTCTTATTCCTTTTCCTATATATTTATTGTTTTGATCTCTTGCTGTGGTAGACACTGTAGGTTGGCCACTGCTCTTCAGAAACTTCCTATGTGTTGTCTGTCTTACAAAGCGTTTTGCACACAATGGACACTTATCTTCCTTTTGTTGGCCTCCCATGAGGAAGAACTTAATCTACCCAGGACAAAGAGCTCAGAGGGCTTCCCAAAAATGCCGACTGTATGAGAGGAGACAGCAGTGTTTAGTGAGTGTGTTAGTGTGTCCGGTACTGTTTCACAGACAGTGCTGATACGTCCTGGTGGTGGCCTCTTCCACCCCATGCCCGTACACAGCTGTGTCTTAGGTAGAGTTTCCAGTCCTGGCCCAGCCTCTCTCTGACTGTGTCAGCTGCTCGCTTCAGAGTTTCTACCACCTTTTACCTGGCAGAGGTGCCCCTCAGTGCCAGAGTGCTGAGCCAGACAACCCCACAATCTCCTCCAGTGTTTCCATGGAAACAGCAGAATCATCCCCTGGCTGGAGCCAGCTCGCAACTGCCAGACCAAGACATGTAATAATAATAACAACAACACAGATTTTTTTGAAACAAGGATGCCAAATTGGTAAATAATTGACATACTGATCTGACCCACGGCTGCCAGAACTCACATACCATTCCTAAGACAATGGAGGAACGAGGAAGGCTCCTGAGTAGTTAATTTTGCCTAAGCACATCATAAGCAGGAAGCAAATTTTGTCCTGCAAACCCAGCTCAGCTTTTAAAATTGTAGATAGATTGCTCATGCACGCTGGCACCCCATCACAACATCTGTGCGTAATTAAGCTGCAGCAAAGAGTTTGCCTCTCATGTGCGAGGCCTCTTCTAGTGCTTAAGGCGGCCGGTGGGTGGGGGGGGGAGATGGGAGGGTAATAACCTCGACCCTTCACAGTGAATCTTTGGGCTTCAGCCCATCACTGAATAAATAGATAGGAGGCCAGAAAAAGGTGAAGGGCAGCCAGACTGAACAGTATGGATCTGAGCATGCATGGAACAGGGCTGTGCCAGGCAGTCAGGCTTGTGATTAACCTGAGGCATAGTTGGGGACAGACAGGAAGGGAGAAGCTGTCTAAGACTAGGTTTGGAACTGGAAAAGATAAGAGCATGCCTGTGGGTAGAGTGGGGACAAGAGTGGGTTGCATCGGGCAGGGTCTCAGTATCTCTTCAGGAGGTCAGGAGCCCGAGGGATATGGGCACTTTTGGAGAAATGTCATAGCTTATTAGACTCTCAGATGAGTAACACGTATGATCACAGCTGACCTTTTAACGTGTTAGATACTCCTAGAAGTGTTGCACATGTCTTTCCTCTTTAATCTTTAACAGCCCCACGGTGTCATTTTAAACTCATGTCGATCAGTGGGGAAGCGAAATCCCCTGTGATCAAGTCATCAGCCTAGGGTTATGCAGTGAGCCAGCAAGAGGCAGAGGCAGTGTTAGGGTGGAGAGAGCCGTGGCTTAAAGCCTGCACATCAAACTGCCTTTGTAGTACTTCTCGGAAAAATTTCTGAATCACAGAGACACGTAAGTTTGCATGAGTGTATAGCATTGACTCAGCCCTGAGATGGACCTGGACCCTCATGAGTCACTGTGTAGCCATCACAGGATGGCTGTTTGACCAGCAGTTCAGCATCTGGTGTTTCTTACTATGGTAAGTAAGGTGAAGCAGCTTCTTTCATAACCATCGACCCCACCTTACCGGGGATGCACTTAGATGCAGAGACTATGCATGTGGCTGTAGTTAATACAAGTAGGAGGCTGAGCTGTGTTCTGCCTGACCAGACTCTGACTGCAGAAAGAATGTACCCTGGGGGATAGCCTAGGGTCTAGACAAACCACAGCACATTGGCAAAGCAGAAGTTCAAGGTCAGACCCCACCACGAGGCCAAGGCCACCCAAGGTCTTGGAACTTTTTATTTTATTTTATTTTTTTATTTTATTTTTTCATTCTGACGTCTTGGGGTCGTTCCCTGGGAAGAGAACGGCCCCGAGTTTCCAAAGCAGGCAGTTCTTTCTTTTTAAAGCTTTATTTATTTATTTATTTATTTAGCATGTATATAGTGTGTGCCAGAAGAGGGCACCAGATCACATTATAGATGGTTGTGAGCCACCATGTGGTTGCAGGGAATTGAACTCAGAACCTCTGGAAGAACAGTCAGTGCTCTTAACCCCTGAGCCATCTCTCCAGCCCCAGTCTTGGAACTTTTTATAAACTGCTTCTTGGGGTTGGGATGGTCTTGATGTGGGAGCAGGTGGAGCCCTCAGGTGGGCCTCTATGGGGCTGTACTCTAGATCATGGGTCAGGGTCCCATAGGCCAGTTAGGGTTAACCTGATGGGGCCAGTGAGAACCTGGTGAGCTGCCTCTCAGAGCTTGCTTTCTTTATTGCTGCCCATCTGTGTTTGTCCCTCACTTTGCACTGGTGAGATATAGCCATTTGGGGACTTGCGGGCTAAGTCAGGCAGTCAGCTGCTTTGTGATTTTTGTGGCCATTTCCATGTGATAATCTACTCCACTTTCCAGCCCCGAGTAGCTGAGGAAAAGGGCATGTGATTATCAGACTGGAACGGTCACATCATAGGGAATGAAGGTCTGGGAGAGAGGCCCCAGCTTATCCCTGCTCCTGCCCACAGAGCCTGCAGCCTTGGGCTGCCACACCACTCTTGGTGCTCTCCTGGCTGTTCTCCAAATGGCCCAGTAGGTCCTGCTGGGGCTTTGGCCTGATGTTTACTTAGCTCCAGGGCCCTGCCAAGCTCAGGTTTCTGAATCAATAGAAGAACTTAACCCCTAAGTAATGTGCCTTTCCTCTGGAGACCAGGAACAACTCTAACAATAGACATGTACTGGTTTTGAGTTGACAACGGTATCAAAACAACAGAAGAGGCACAGATTTCTTGATCAGCCTAGATTTCCAAATGATGAAAACCTAGTTTAGGCTCATGGGGATCCCAGCACAAGGACTTTACTTGTCTGAGTAGCTCCACCCCTTGCAGGGCCCCTCGCCAGTGAAGGAAATGGGGTAGGGATGGGCATGAGGAGGTAAGAGAATGATTGCCTGTACGGCCGTCTCAGAAGAACTACGAGAAGTACGTAGCCGGACGTGAGGGCTGTCTAGATGAGTCTTGGGGATGGATGAGCAGGGGACTCAGTTTCCAGAACACCTGAAGTCATCGTCCTTGGTTTTTCTCCCCGAGAGGAAATAGTTTACCAATATTTTGGAGAACTAGCATGTTGAAAGCATCCTGACTTTGGTGGTACTGACTCTATCACCTGCTTATGTGGCATCATGCAGCCTGTGGTGTCCTCTGACCCCTTGCTGTTCCCGAGGAAACCTGTTTTCTTTTGCTTTTAGATTTTTTTCAGAGTCGCAGAGGGTAGGAATGTGTCCATTAGCTTATAATTTGTTTACAAATAACTGAAAGCCAATCCAATATTTTTTTTTCTAATGGTTACCATTTGAGCTGGAGGGATGGCTTGGCAGTTAAGAGCATGTACTGTTGTTTTTCCAGAGAACCTGAGTTGGGTTCCCAGCACCCACATCAAGCTGCTCACAACTGCCTGCAAACACCAGCTCCAGGGGATGCCATGCCTCTGGTCTCCTTGGACACCTGTACTCATGGGCACATCCCCCTCCCCATACATATAATTAAAAATAAGTTTCAAAGTGTTTATTGTCTTTATGAAGCAGGAAGAAGTGCCTCAGTTGCTGATGGAACTTAGTAGTCTGACAACATTCAGAGCTGGTACCTGTGATTCTCTGAGCTTTTGTTTTTTGTTTTTTACCCCTTATTGTTGCAAGATAGTGGTAACTGTTTCAAGAATCACATTTGCTTTCAGGGTGGGAGAGAAAGAGAAAATAGTGCCACGAGCATCCTTTTATGAAGAGAAAATAACCCTTTTCTGAACCCTCGAGCCAGCTGCCACTTACATTTGATTGGCACAGACTACTCCATTATATGGCCACTTACTATAGGGCAGGCAGGGAAAGGGTTTAAGTTTCCCATGTATGGGGAAGAGGAAGGTGGGTAATAGGCATTGGGTTAAGATCCAGTTTGTCTGCCATAGGAGGCTGGTAGGAAACTAGCAGAAAACAGAATTTATCCTCTGGTTCAAACTCAGTCCATTGCTTCAATGTATCTATCCCTCAGGTGCCAACACTGTAGCAGAGTTAGGCCCCTGCAAGAGTCTGGTGGAGCGAGAGGCAGAAGGAAGCAGCTCTTAATACTGGTGTTAGCTATGTGTGTAACACTGACCATGGTATCTGATGGAAACAACCTAAGGAAGGAAAGATTTGTTCCGGCTTATGTCTTCATAGGGTTTCATTTCATCATGGTGGTGAAGTCATTGTGGAGCTTATGGCTTAGAAAGGTATATTAGATGCTCTTTCCATCAAAGGGGACCAGAAAACAGAACTTCCAGATACAGGGCCTGAGCTCCTGTACCAAAGGCTTGCCTCTACTAAGGCCTTCTTCCACCAGACCTACCTCCTAAAGTTCCCAAACCTCTCAAAGTAATGCCCCCAGCTGGGGATCAGGCCTTCAAAGCATGATGAACCTGTGGTGGACATTTCCAATTGTGTCTTAACCACAGCAGCTTCCAGGTAGATAGGAAACATTTTGCTCCTAAGTACCCGTGTCTGTTCTAGTGTCTGGCCTGCAGTAAGAGGGAGGAGTGGGGGTACGGGTGGGAAGTGAGTGGATTGGAAGGTAAGAGGTTTAGGGGAGTGGCACTCGGGAATCAGGAAGCCGCTCCCATCTTCATGAAGGACTTGTGAGGGAGTTCTGCCATTACAGCCACCTGGCTGAGTCAGTCTGCCTAGTTGTCCTAGGCTTTCCTCTCTGTCAGTGGCTCCATCCCAAAAGCAGTATGTGCCAAGTGTCTGCTCCCTGCACTTGACTAGAAGCCAGCCCTGACCAAAGCCTTTGATGCAACCTTCTTTTTCCTTCTCTAGGTCCCCCAGATCCACTGGGAGCTGTCCACCAAGAGGGTGCTCCTGATGGAGTTTGTGGAGGGCGGGCAGGTGAACGACAAGGATTACATGGAGAAGAACCGGATCGATGTGAACGAGGTGAGGTGGGGCTAGGGCTGGGGCCCAGGGACAGTGTGGTTGGCACTGCTGGGATAGGCCTGGGACTCTTGAGGCCCCAAGAGCCTGGTCCATGGCCTTTAACAGAATTATGTATCCGTGCATCCATCCATCCATCCATCCATCCATCCATCCATCCATCCATCTGGAAGGGTCCTCCTAGGCTTCCCCATCAGGTCCTGGGCTGTCGTGGCAATAGGGACAAGCAAATCTCTCAGAGAACGAGGTTGCTGCTGGCTTCTCTTCTCAAGCAGCTGAGTCCATACAGCTAGGCAGTGGTGCCCAGTCAAGGGACTCAGCCTCTCTGTCTCTTTGGTGCCTGTTTATCAGCAGCCACCCTGCCCTCCTGGACCCCCACAGCTGGTTGTGGAACAAAGAGGACTGAAGCAGTCATCTAGATCAGTTTCACAGAGCAAGGGAGAAGAGGAAGCTGTGACTTTACCTCCCATTCCCTGGGTATCAGAGAAACTGGCTGGTGGACCAGGTTGTGTATCCAGCCTTTTGCTTCTTGGGTACCCCAGGGTCCTTAGAAAAGAGGAAGTTGTGCTTTTTCATCCACATCCATTAGTGCAGTCCCGTGCAAGTCAGGGTACTCAGGGTACCTAGGCTAGAGTCAGATGTCATCCGATAAATCCGCAGTGGGGATTACAACCAGGATTAGAACCCAGGTCCTTCCACCTCCACCTTCTCTATCTCCCTCCGATGTGTGTCTCCAGTAGAACTTGCAGCCACTTGGATGATGGCTACATCAGTAACTGTGCCCGGAAATTGGCAGCACACTGGGGAACTTCCATGTTCCCCTTGCCTTCAGCTCCTAGGGTGGTGCCCACGTGGTTCACAGAGTCTGGCTACAGTGGGGTACTGGCCCCTGCTGGGAGGCTACCTCTAGAATCTCTCTAAAAGGAAGCAGAGCGGCTGCCTGCTAATCAGGAGATCCAACATCTCTGTACTGTGTTGTCACTGGCCTCTCTTTCTGCCAGAGACGACCTTCCAGTCCAGGGGCTCACCATCATCCATACATTTCTTTGGGTCCTGCAAGCTAAGACTGTAATGGCATCTCATCAGAGGTGGCTCTGAGTTTCCAAGACAAGTTTAAACAGACCCATGTGCTCTGATATTGTAGCTTGTTTGTGACTGAACCAGCTGGAGAGCAGGGGACTCTGTGCAGGGTGGACCCTCTGAGCCTGGGCCCTTTTGTTCCAACCACCATCATTCTTACATGTGTGGGAAAAGCCAGTATCCAGGCAGGAAGGCCTTAGTGGGCATCCTGACTTTTCAAGAGTGAAACAGGCCAGACTTATCTCTCTGGTCCTCAGTTTTCTTAGTGGAGATGATGGACCAGCTGACCTCTAACCATGGATCCTTTCTATTTGAATATTTTATAGACTAGTAACTGTGGTTCAGGATGGTCCAGGAGCTATCTATTTCAGAACCTTTAGGGGAGCTTGTTTGTGTAGCTATGCGGATTCCTGGGAACCTCCCCAGGGTGCACATGAGGATCTGGGGTGGGGAGGGTTGCAGAGTCTCCAGATGGATCCATGGAAGACCTTGCCCCAGTATAAAGCCCTTGCGTTGGTGGCGCACGCCTTTAATCCCAGCACTCGGGAGGCAGAGGCAGGCGGATCTCTGTGAGTTCGAGGCCAGCCTGGTCTCCAGAGCGAGTGCTAGGATAAGGCTCTAAAGCTACACAGAGAAACCCTGTCTTAAAAAAAAAAAAAAAAAAAAAAAAGCCCTTGAGCTATTAGTGCTCACCTGCCATTTGTACCTGCCACACAGGTGGCCCCACCTAGGTGTGTTCACCTTCTAGGAGCCAGCAGCCTATGAGGGCTCCTCTGTTTATCTCCCTGAGCCTGGCACCTTATGCATCCAGGGACCATACTTGCCAGGAACTTTAAGAGCTGATGGCAGCAATTGTCACTGATCCCATTAAAAGCAAAGGTTGTGCGGGCATCTTCTCAGGCAGGTGAGGAGGCTTCTTGTAGCCACAAAAGGACTATATCGATTGTAAGACCTTTACGGAAGGTTAGTTGGATTTCAGTGAGTGTGGGTTGAAGACCCTGCCTGGGCTGAGGCCTGGCTTAATTGGCATGAAATTAGCCAAGAGAAAGGTGACTGAGTTGGTACTACAGGGCAGCAGGGACAGATGCAGGAGGCCTGGTGGGCAGACATCACCTGTGTCTGAAGACTGATTGGATCTGGGGAAAGATGCCAGCCAGGTACTTCCTTAGGGAAAGAGCCAGGGGGAAAAGAGGGCCATAGTTACATGGCCCTGGATTGAGTCCTGGTCCTTAGGATCTCCAGGTGGAGGACGAGGAGGAGGACTATGGAGACTGTCTCCTCACTTTCCTGGGAGCAAACTTCTGTTAGAGTGGGGATGGATTTAGGACTTAGCTGAAATCATTAAAACCTTCTAACTAATCTTCTCTTTTAGGACCCTCAGAACCTATTTCCAGAGATGCCAGGTACTGAGCCTTCTTGGAGCTTAGATCATAGGCACAGAGCACCTGTAGTTGGCTCAGGGCTCCCTTGCCTTTGCCCTATCATCAGCTGTCCCCAGGCCATGCTCCTGCTGACTCATGTTGGCTTCTGTGGTTACCTGTTCTGCTTTTCTTGCGATTGGAGGTGTTGCTTCTGTCCCTTTGAAATCAGAGTTACTTTCCAGTATGTTTTTTTGAGTACCTTCTATGTACAGGCACTGCCCATGTGTGCTAGCATAAAAATGTGGACAGAGCCAAGCACGGGGCTTCCAAGATACCTGGTGCTGGACAGGATGGGTACCTGGGGTTGTCTGACTCTGCCATTCATTGCTCCAGTGGCCTTGAGTGAAGTACTAGAGATAGGAACCCAAGTCCTTTTTTCTATGGGACAGGTGCCACCATGTGAGATTTATAAGCAATAGGACCATGTAGAACATTTTCTATAATTTTTAATTCATGAGAGCATTACTACTCACTGAGGCGTCTCTTCTTCTGTAGAGTCTCTGAGAACCTTTGTTCCCTTCTTGCCCCCTTTCTGTAGCCTGTGAGTGCATAGATTTGATGTACTTGATTGGCATGCAATGCCATAGATTCAGAAAAGCCAGGCTGAAGTTCTGCCTTTCCCTTGATTACCTTTGTTCCTGTCGCCACCCTGTGTGGACAGAAAAGAACCTTCCCATTTTTGCTCAGTATCATTCCAACCTCCTGGCCCTTCTGGCTGGCTGGAGACCCAGTTCCTGGAATCATTAGGAAGAAAACAGTTTCTTCTCCCTAACCCCCATCACTCTTGGGTGCTCATAATGTTGGGATGAGGGGTGGTCCCAGGTAGCTTCTGAGGACTTGTTTTCTCACAACAGAGGTACTGGTTGGGCCAAAGGAGTTTTCTGGAGTCACTGTTTTTGCAGTCTAGTGCTGGCTCTAGACTGTCATTTGTCAGCTGTTCTGCTGTGGGGTTGCTATTAGGAACCCTGGCTTCCCTGTATGGTGGGTGACCTGAAGGGCCCTTCGACAACTAAAGCACAGCGCTGAGCCTGGTATATATGCCCAGTACACAAGGACACTGAAACCCCAGCTCTCTGATTTTCTTGGCATGACAATGTTTGTTCAAGGGTAGGGGAAATAGGAAGGGGAGAATCCTTTTCCTGGTCTTCTACATTGATCAAAGCAATTTGTGTGTGGGGTGAGTTGTCACCGAAGAAATGAGATTACAGATGTCAACAGCAGTTCCTTCTCCTTGAAAGTGTTCTTAATGGCTATGATCCCTGGGACTCACTTTTGCCACTTTCTGGACTTGGGATGACTTGCTGGGCACCTCTGGTGCTTATGTCGGGCTCTCACTTTAAGCCTGGTAAGGGCTGATTAAAGAAGTGGTATTGGTTTTCTTTTTGTGAGAAAATGCTTACTGTTGTTAGAGAAGTAACTTGAGGAAGCATTTATTTTGGCTCATGGTTTCGAAAGGTTGCATCCATCATGGCCGGAAGGCATGGTGGTTGGAGTGGCTCTGTCTGTGGAGGGAGGGGCCAGGACAGGACACATATGGGTCTTCAGATGGCCAGAGATCAAAAAACAGAGGTCACAGGTAGAACCAGGGCCAGATATCACCTGAAAGGACTTACTTTCACCAGCCAGGCCCCACTTCCTCAAAACTCAGTCACCTTCCAAGTAGTGCCACAAGCTGGGGACCAAGTACTGAAAGCATCAGCCCATGGCAGTGTTCAAGACTTAGGTCTTATCGGGAGGTGTTTGGGGCGCCACTATCAGAGCCACGCCTCAGTTTCCTGTGACCCAGTGGCACTTCTGTTCCTGTCCTCACTACCACTGTGTGAGACTGAGGAGTTCACAGCATCTGGGCGTTCAGGGACATCATCTCATCCACGATCACTGTGTGCCATGAATACATTGACTGCAGCACTGGGCAGCTGGAGCGGTCTGCACTTTCTGTATCTCAATGTTTCTTCCTGGTGACAGGAGGAGGGTGATGGTGATATGCCCCCAGGCAGCAGGCTGGTCTATCTGGATAATCTGGCAGACTCTGGGGACAGATGTCACAACAGCAGTCTCCCCTTTCTCTCACAGACGTTGGTCTTGCTTTGGAGACACCCCCACCCAGGAACGTACATAGACTTTTCCTTGGGGGTAGGAATGAATTAATTCACACAATTATAGACCAATTAAGCTACTTTCAACCAATTCAGGCCTTGAGAAAAGTCCCAAAATAACTCCTTGATTTAAATATTATTTACTCAATTAATTCTTTACTCAGCCCTTTTTATGGAACTCTGTTATCTTTTCCCCCTCTTCCCTACTGTTAGAGAATGAAGGCGTTTGTAATTAGTAAAATCACGTATGAGTGGCATGTTCTTTTCACACGGTACAATTCAGACTTCTTGGTGGCTTTTTAGTAGAGAGCACTGTCCTGTGTCTGGACTGGGGGAATCACTCAGCCAGGATTTCCTCCCCATGTCCTTTTCTTCAGACAGACAGTACCTCAGAAGTCAGCCTCAGGAAAGCTCTCTATGGAGTGGAGAGGCAGGTGGACTGACCATTGGGCACCCGTTCTCCAGAGCCAGGTCACATGACAGATCAACATCACTGACAGCTGAGCAAGGGATCAGGCTTCTTCCTGTCTTTTAATCCCCACCTCCTCAGCCTTGCAGAGAATGGCTAAGTATCTGGAGTAGGGCCTGGCCCATTGTGGACTACTCCAAAAATGTGCCCCTGCCCATCATCGTGTGGGTACCATACTACTCCAGATGGTGGTCTGTCTCTCGGTAGATGATGTAGCTGAAGTAATATGAAGAAGTAAGAGAGGGGCTCAGGGATATTGATTGGCCTTGCTTCTGCAATGCCACCAGCCAAGCAGAGGCCTGGGGCTTCTCCAGGATCCTGAATACCTGTGGTGGTAGGAAGGGCTAGCTGCCCTACGGGAAGACTTGATTTCCAAAGAGGTGTCAGCCCAGTTCTGCAAGCTGCAAAGAAAATTCACCCAAAACCAAGAAAATGGCCGCAAGAGTGACATGCCCTTTCAAAGTCATTCTTAAGTGTAGATCAATCAACACTGTGCCAGTTTCAACTCCCCTTCCCCGAGGTTTTTTTTTTAATATTTAGGGAAATGTACTTTTCTTTGTTACCTACAATTATGAGCTCAGCCTGAAGTCATGTATCCACTTGTAGTTCTTTCCCAGTTGAGATGCAAATAGTCTCTGCTCAGTAGAAAAGATAATCCTAAAGGTTGATTTTTTTTCTTTTTTTTTTAAATTTTATTTATTTATTATGTATACAACATATCTTCCATGTGTATCTGCACACCAGAAGAGGGCACCAGATCTCATAAGGGATGGTTGTGAGCCACCATGTGGTTGCTGGGAATTGAACTCAGGACCTTTGGAAGAGCAGTCGGTGCTCTTAACCTCTGAGCCATCTCTCCAGCCCTGATTTTTTTTTCTTAAGATCCCAGATGACAATAAGTAGTTCACATTTCATCCAGGAATTCTCCTTTCTTCCTGAGTAAGTCCTGGCTTCCTTACAGTTGTTTTTGAAGCATGTCTACCATTGTACCTGATTCCTAACTGTTGAGTTGAAAGGCCCAGACACTTCTTTCTCTGTGTGTTTGTGAGCTGTACTTCTAACACCGACAGTTACATTTGGTAGGAACAGGTACGCATTTTTCTCCATGTCTAAAAAACCAAACCAATGACATTTGTGTGTCCAACATTGAGTAATGGTTTTCTCCTGGGTATGGTATTTGACTTTGAATTGTAAAGTTGCTCTGTGAGGAGGTCAAACAGATGGCGTTAGTCCCACATAACTGCTAATGGAGATTGAGGACCGGGGTGACTTATCTCTCAGGCCACTGGTGCCCAAAGTGGCAGCACCAACATGGCTTTAGTGCTGAGCTATTGGCATCAGCCAACTCTTGTTCCTTGTGCTTTGTCTTCTATAACTGTCAGTCCTAGGGACATCTGGTTAGCTGAGCATTGAGAACAGCTCCCAAGTAGGAAGGTCTCCAAGTGGCAGCTGGCTGGGGGGCTGTTGAAATGGTGTGTGTGTGTGTGTGTGTGTGTGTGTGTGTGTGTACGTACAAGAGAGATAGAGATAGAGAGAGACAGACAGAGAGACAGAGTGAGACACAGAGAGGAGAGAGATAGAGAGACAGAGAAACAGGCAGAGAGAGGAGGGAGGGAGAGAGAGAGAGAGAGAGAGAGAGAGAGAGAGAGAGACAGAGAGACAGAGAGAGACAGAGAGAGAGAGAAAGGAGAGAGAGAATGCATGTGCTCTCCCTGGTGGCTTCACTTATATATATGTATATATCAGCAGCACCCGCACCTCAGGGATATGAGCACCCCCACCCTGAGTCCCCATGCCCCCAGGGGCCATCTTTCATTGTAGAAATAAGGGGCCCAGAGCGATTAGCAATATTTCAGAAAGCTTAAGGGAGATCATACATCTCCCTGTGACAGGTTTGCCCAGACTAAATGAAATGTCACTTCTCCACATTTTGACTGGAATTCCGTCAGCTCAGTCTGGCTGCACTGCTTATCTTGGGCCGATCAGGAACCCTGATTGGACTTTATATGCGTCCTTGACAAATAAAAATGAATGATTACTTAATAAATGGAATCGGTTTGTCAGATATGGCCTTTTGAAGCGTGGCTCTGAGGAGCTCCAAGGAGCCTAACAAAAAGGGTTCTTGGTCTCAGAGGTGGGGAACTGGCTGCCTTATCCAGGCCCTGCTTTGGCTGAGGCCTATCTCCCTGGGAAATAGAAAACATTGGCCCTGGGACCCCTGAGATTCGCCCTGGGGCAAAGTCCTGTTCCTAACTAGAATGACAGAGTCCCAAGGTATGTTTCACCCTAGGCAAATTTCAGGAGTCAGAGTGCTCTTGTGGCAGGGAGTAGTGCCTTTGGCATCTTCCTCTGTACAGGTGTGTTACAAAGAACCAATGATGACTACCACAGGGACATCTACAAGAAGTCACTAGGTCCCAAGCCCTGTGGCATGCTCCTTCACTTCTGCAGCCACCCATGAGAATTATGATTTACTGAAGCCAGTAGCGTAAGAAGCTGGTTCAAGGTCTCCAGAGAAAGGTACAGAAGTAGGTGGGAGCCATGTAGAGGGGCTTTGTTAGGCAGCTGGGGGTCATACCTGCTTTGAACAAACAGGACTCTGCCATGAGTAGCTTTATCCTCAGTGCTTTCACTCCCTTGTCTGCAAAGTGGGGGTCATAATCGTTCCAACCCTTTGAACATTATTAGTAATGATGTCAGCTGTTGTTCTAATGAGGGGTTATTCTATTCAAGTCTTCTGTAGCCCACGCTCGCCCTGGGCTTGCAACTCTCCCATCTCAGGCTCCAAGGTGCTGAAATCATAGGTCTATGCCACCACTTTTGACCTAACTCTTGACCGTTAGGTCATTCTTGATCTTTTAACTTGGTGCTGATTACAAATGGTTGGGTCTTGGGGGGAGACTGATAGGATTAGGATAAACTGGGTAGGGAACACAGCATCTTAAAGCCAATGGACAGCTCACTCACATTGAGTGCAGAGTCTTACTTTGCTGGTCTGGTGCTGGTGCAAGCAAGTGCATGCGTAATGGAGCCCGTCTACAGCACATCAATCACACCTCAATAAAGCCGTTTAACAAAACAGAGCCAGTCCCTGCTGTCCTGGGAGTTTATGATAGTGAACCAGATGGTCATTTGTCAAATAATCACACGAGTAATTGCTAGTGCTGTAGAAGAAAAGGCCAAGGATCCTTTAGGAGTATATGGTGAGAGCATGCCTCCAGCCCCAGATAGGAAGGAAAGGTGCCTGGACCTAGAGATGGGGAGATGGCAGAGGTGCTTTGTGGCAGTGGGAATGGTTTGCACTGAAGTCCTGAGGTAGCAAGGCACTGGCATCACTGAAGGCTGATGTGGCCAGAGAGTGTGTGTCTCACGCAAGGGGATACCAGGGAGAGAGGCAAGACATTATTAGGTCATAGAACTTGTTGCATAGGACTTAACAGTTGAGGAAGAGTCTTAATCTTGAGTCCCCCTACCCATGAGCTCCAGCTCCCCTGTCTCCACTATGTTCATTTGTTTATGACCATGAGGTTCAACTGAGGTTGGAAGGAATGCCAAGGGCAGTCAGTGTCCCCTGGACACCCATCGACACATCATCTGGGGGCCCTGGTCTGGTTCTATTCAGCAGCTGCTCCCTAGCTGGGAAGAGGCTTTTAGCTTTAATAAAAAAGGAGGTAGAGATAAGAAGGCTGCCTTGGCAGGGTGCGCAGAAGTGACAGGATGATTTAAATGGCCTCTCCAGTGTCGTTTCTTCTCTACAGACACCATAAATCAGATTAGCATTGGGCTCTGGGGGATGGGGAGAGGGGAGCAGGGCCTGCACTCTGGGTCTGTCTAGGACCGGCCTGGTGGCAGGGCAGCTGCAGAGGAGGGTCATTGTATCTGTCACCTGTTCCTGACCCAGCCCTGTTCTTTGACGGAGTAGTGACACTGTTCCCACAAGCCACTCTCATTTTTTGGAAAGAGAGAAGAGGGGCTGATAAGAGAACAGGGAGAAGAGAGATGAGGGGAGTGGGCAGGGCAGTGTGGGAGGTGAAGACTGACAGCCATCAGGAAATGGAGAAGCAGCCATTCTCCTCCCTTACATGCAGGGAGTCACACGGGGAACTCAGAAAACACTGGAGTTCCAGGTGGTTTTAATGTGTGGCCGTGTTTGAGCTGAGCCTCACTTAGACGTGAGAACTCCATTATCTCATACTGCTCTGGCCCAGTGGGTCCCGTCGTTGTCTCTTGAAAGTGGCTAGAGTGGGTGATGAGAGAAGTTCCTGGAGCAAGTATGGGCATGGCCGAGCTCCCACTGGGTTGCTTCTCTTTCAGATATCCTGCCACCTGGGCAAGATGTACAGCGAGATGATCTTTGTCAATGGCTTCGTGCACTGTGACCCCCACCCAGGCAATGTGCTAGTGCGGAAGCATCCAGACACGGGCAAGGCTGAGATTGTCCTCTTGGACCATGGGCTTTACCAGGTAGGAGAAAACTCTGATGCCCACTAATGCCCTCAAGAAGCCCTGCAGATGGGGGGAGGCAGGTAGCTGGGGAGGGCCCCTCTCCTCAAGGAACTGTCATTTTTGTTATAGACCTAGCCCAAGAGTTTGCTGAACCTCAGCATCCATGCATCAAAATGAAGTCGCTCTGGCCTCTTTTGTAGCTGTTGTGAGGAGCAGATAGGAGGAGTGTGCCAGTGTGGCTATGTCTTCCCAGGGGACTGCAGGCCACCAGACTCTACTGTGTGTGAGCGGGAACTTCAGGAGACAGATGACTGCATAATCGGTGCTAGTGAGGAAAACAGGGTTGGAGGCCCCAGACTTTGTCTTCTGGAACTCAGGATAAACAGTTAATATAGAATGAATGAGCCACAGCCAGCACCGAAAAAGTGGGGCATATTATTATCAACCCGGGACCCCAGCTTGACTTGTTTCCCCGAGGTACTTGGTCCTGAAGAGATTCCACATTCACCACAGCTCCTTTCTCAGGCCTTGATACCACATCCCTAATCTCGGCCTCCGCTGAAAGGCTTGGTAAAATAGGATGCAGGCCAGAATTAGGCCAGCTGTAGTCACATGGAGCCCCAGAGACAGATAGTCCTAGGCATGTTGGGTGGAGTCTTCAGGGCTCTGTTCCCTAGGACTCACAGGAGGTGAGGGCAGAGGAGAGGGCGAGGGGATATGTGGGAAAGCTTTGAGGGAGGAGAACTGTGCTTGTCTTCCTGGGAGGCCAGGGAAGTAGCCTGTGCCTAAAACGGAGACCGCAGTATAGATTTTGGAGGGCAGTTAGCAGTCTCTGCCTGTTAGGACCAAGGCTTGCTAGTACAGGTTGAGTATCCCTAATCCAAAAACATGCATTCCCAGTGCTGGAAGATTTTGAGCACCGTGGCACCGCAAGTGGAAAATTCTATGCCTCCTAACTTTGTTTCATGCTCAAAATTGTTAAACACATCGTGCAAGGCTACCTTTAGGCCATGTATGTAAAGCATGTATGAAACAAATGAATTTCATGCTTAGATGTGTGATCCAGCCCCAAGATACTATGTATATGCAAATCTGAGAAAGAAAAACCATGAAATCTAGAGCATTCTGGTCCTGGGAGTTTCAGATTCATGATATTCAAACTCTGTTAGCTTTGAACTTGGGCCCCTAGGAACGGCTGAGTGTTGGGGGAACGATGGTCCTCCTCATGCCCCGTGTAGTGCTCAGCATCAGTCAGGGCTTCAGGCCTTGGGTCAAGAGAGACTGCTTGCTGACCATTGCTGCCCTGGCTCTAGGTGCTCACAGAGGAGTTCCGCCTGGACTACTGCCGTCTGTGGCAATCCCTGATCTGGACTGACATGGAGAGGGTGAAGCAGTACAGCCAGCGCCTAGGGGCTGCAGAGCTCTACCCACTGTTTGCCTGTATGCTGACAGCCCGGTCCTGGGACTCAGTCAAAAGAGGCATTGGACAAGCTCCAGTCACTGCCACTGAGGTAGGTGACCGTCTCACAGATGCAAGGATCAGGGCCTAGGGACCACTTCCAACCAATTGTCTAAGGTTCATGATTGGTGGGCTGTGTGTCTCTGTAGGGAGGGCTGTACTGGAACCACACAGGATGAGAAGCAGGGAGGAGAGTAGAAACTATGGCACTGGAGTGAGGAGGGCAGGGGAAGGATAGCCCGTTGTGTTCCCTGGGACCTCATTAGCCTGGAGGAGACATAAAGCTTGTGGACTTAAAATCCTAGACCTCAGTAGCTTAGTGAGATGCCAGGCTCCCTCCAGCATCCATCTTACTCCCAGGGGCCATCTTACTCCT